AGGCAAAAAAATGTTTTCGTGTTAAAATTCAAATTAGTCAATATAGTATACATTTAGGATGATATTTTTCAAGCCTTACTCACAGCTTCGTTGGGCTACAATTCGCAAATAAAGCATTTTAAAAAATACGAAATGAAAAACTGTTCTGGAACAGCAGGAAATAAACAATAGTTTGTAATTGTTTTTGCATTACAAATCTTTGTTATAAACCAATGAGCTTTGGCGCAATAATGATCGACTTATAATGTTTGGACTTTCTCGGTCGCGAGAGGACTTAATTTTTCTACTTGCCTACTCAGTTCAGAGTAGAACCTGTTGGCAAGACTCTGCTTTCGTCCAAACATGTTTTGATAGGAAGTTGAGGCATACATCTATGAGTTCTCGCTAAATTTGAATATCTCGGTTGGACAAACCATCGGCCTCCGCCGGTTATTAAGGCGGGAAATTCCTATTCGGCCATCTCGGGTTATGAAACATCTATCCCATCGTCATCAGTTGGTGAATCGGCTTCGTCATTTTCTGCTTTTTCAACAGGCTGGGGAAGTGTTTTTTTTTACTCTTTTGGCGCCGAAACCTTCTGCAAGTCGTCCCAGTTTTTCGTAGAATTTTCATTAATCACCCTAGTCGGCCAGCTTCTTGAACTCTTCAGACGTATTTTGACCTCTTTCTTTTTCTTCTTTGTCTGCACACTCGTCTCGCTTCCCTCTCGGTGTCTCCCTCTCCCTCTCCCCACAGCGGCATGGCAGTCCTCATCGTACCAGCTGTTTTTGCGATCTTTTCGAAATCCAATAGTTTTGTTAACAGCTGTAGGAAAGTAACTTAAAATACCGTCCCACAGTCCTTTTATACCGAGCTGTTGATGAGTACTCTCAGGAAGCTGTGATTGCCGCTTTTCGACGTCGAACTTTTTTCGTGGTTGCAGCTCTTTTTGCGTGTGTGCATCTTTACTAACACAAGATAGTGGTCCGAGTCGATTTAAAATAGATTAATTAACTTGTCCCTAAGTGGGGTAAACGTGGTTGCTACCACAACAACAACGTGAACTCGTATAAAAGGAGGCCACACTCCAGGCTTCCAGCAAGACTATCAATCAGTTTTTGCTTTTTGGCGTCGCAATTTCACTTGGCGGGGGAAAACTGCAGGACCTTCTACTATCCCTGACTGCTAAAATGACTACTTGAATGCGGGAAGAAAACAGTAATGTTTTTCAAACTAGAGATATAATATGGAGTATAGCAGTACAGAGCTTTGGTCATACTCGTATTTAGTTACTACTCTGTACGTGGCATCGACTACCGATGACTCAACCAGCTCAACCTAACCTAACTGGCTAATTTTTATTGCTGAAAAGAGCTCCGACTGCAAAATCTGCGGAAACTCAGTTTAAAACTGAATTAATTGTTTGGTTTTGTAGAAAGTAGAAAAATAGCTTCAGCACTGCATGCGGTTCTCTTGCGTGTGAAGAGTGCCTTTAGACTACACTACATACTCGTGTATATAATTTCAGGCAGCAGTCAATGAGAATGATTGCCAAAATCCCATTCCAATCATATTGACTCACACTGAGCTGTCATTCATAGTGAAATAAATATTGTCAAACAACACTACATAGTACACATACATATATACGAGTATATCTACTATGCCAATGACTGTGATTATATATACATATGTGCATACACGCATTTTGTTGCTATTGCTTGTTTACGTTAAACCACTCATATACCGTTAAGTAACCTTTGACTTAAACACAACCAAATATATTTCAACATATCTACATGTAGCCCAAACAGCAACAACACACAAAGTTACATATATACTATGTAGATAACCTACATGCCGTCTACTTCCCAACAGCCCACAGGTGTGGTAACCACAAAAGCTAAAGCTTTACAAAGTACACAAACACATACACAAAGTACATACTACTGATATGCCGCGAATCGCCAAACGCATTTCGTCAAATATTTGCATTATTGTGCGAATGCCGTTAGCCCCAGCTTATCCACGCATACACACACACACACGCACACACACATAACGTTTTTGAACCGCCCTAATCTATGCTCTAAGCGTTTGTGATGAGTTTATGTGTACATTGTTTGTTCTAGTTGTTGCTATTATTGTTGTTGAATGTTCGTTTTGGCTTTTGTGCTTAGCATATACACACACGCACACACATATGGTATATATAACTAACTGTGCTGGGGAAATCGTGTGCGCCTTCAAGCGAAAATTATGGACGAGTTGTGATAAACGGAGATTTTTGTTGGAAATCGTCTACTGTTGCGACAGGTGTGCATTTTTCGAGTGGCTAAGCATAATGGAAATCACATTCGCTATCTCTATGGACGGCCTATCACCTGCATCAATTACATTTCGGGAGTTGCCCGACTAAAGTTTTTTTCGGTTGTGTGGTTTTGAATGAGTCAATACATTTTTCGGTCCTTTTAACAGCTGTTAATTTCTTTATACCCATTTTGGCTTGCCCTTTCATAATGAACAGACTTACTTCAGAATGAAGCTTGCAAATTTATTACCATCACGCGCTGCGTATCATATTCGAACTACATAATCGCTCAATAGAGTAGATGCTTTGAGCAACCATGAATCTGTTTCGCGCCACTTTTATTCTAGTGGATAAGGCGCATGCTCAGCAACACCGTACAGTGCGAAGAAGCTATTGCAGCTGTGAAGTAAAGTATCGAAGAAGATCGGACAAATCGAGCTACGCCCATAGATGTTATGGAGGATTTTGCGAAAGAATATTACCTTGCAGGCTTAGGAAATCCAACTCCTGCAAAAATTGAGCCGAACAACCAATCAAGCGCGTCGTATGTTTAGTAAGTGTGCCCAAAACGAGCTCGCCACCGAACCCGATTTTCACACGGCAACTTCGTTCAGCAATGAAGCTCAATTTTACTTGAATGATCATGTTGATAAGCAAATTGTTGTCGCTTTTGGAGTGATGATATTCCACAAGACATTATTCAGACGTCATTACATCCTCAAGAGTTTGGTGTTTGGTGTATTCTAAGGAAATCATTAGTCTATATTTCTTTAAAAATCAAGCTGGCTATAATGTTGCAGTCTACGAGGGACGTTAAAGAGCGATGATTGCTGACTTTTTCATGCCTGAAGTATAGAATGTTGATTCGGAGAGTTTTTGATTTCAACAAGATGGCGAAAAATGTTCTAGAACCAACGAAACAAACAATTCATTGAAGGAAACCTTTGGTGAGCATATTATACCATGCGAATGAATATCGTCAGACAACCTTTTCTGAGCTCATGTGAAGTCGCTTATGAACGAAATTAAGCCAGAGGCGATTGACACCTTGGAAGAGAATATTAGGTGTGTTATTGCTGCCATACGGTCCCAATTGCTTCAAAGAATGGTAAGAATTTGAAACTCTCGACTTGAATTTATTTGCGTTTTATTTCTTCTTGAATTTTACAAGTCCAAAAACTCCCTTTAGAAGCAAAACTCTGAGAATTTCTTAACAACATGGACTATTTCAGAGATATTCAGTAGATGACTGATCAGTTTATACTAATACATTTCCACTCGGCTTGCTGAAAATCTATTCAGATTGGCGCATGATCACACGGCGCGAAAGCATCCATAAACTGAAGATATTTTCAAGGTTGTTGATTTCCATAGCTCAAAATTATTATGCGAACCTCAGAGAAGTATTCGATAGACATTGAAGGGCGGCCTTAAAAAATATATAGAGAGAGACTTTAAACATTTAAACTACAACAACAACACAGAGAGAAAAGTAAACTTTCGATTTTTTTCATAATTATTTATAGACGGAGAGCATATACTATTCCTTTTGGTAGGCAATGTGGAGGTCCTATTCGTTTACCTTATAAATGAATGACATTTTAAAACCAACTCCTTTGCTCATTATTTTTGTGGCATTCTCCGACATTGCGCAAACTAGCTCCAGCGATAATCGGGAATACATTATAATATCCTATGAACCTCTGGTTGTATTTTTGATATAAAATAGTAGCAGCTTCTAAGGTTAGTTTATGTTCTATTGGCTACCGATCTCTCTCACTCAGGTCTGACTGAGATCCACTGTCATGCCACAAAAATTTGACCATAAGCCATTTGGATTCCCTAATGAACCTCATTAGATCCATTACTGCAACGTCGGCTATCTCCGATTTACCAACCAGTGCTAGGGAGCTCAAAACTCCCAAACCTAGTCCTGCTCAAAGCAGTACGTTCGCATAAGGGATGGGTGATCCTTTCCTTCTCTTTATCCTCCTTACAGCTTCTGCAACGACTTCTCTTTCTATTACTTTGGGCATGCCACCACTCTTTAAGGAGTACATATCACGTGATATCTTCTTATGCCATTTTGGCTAGAGGTGTCTGAATTTGCAGGTTACAGTGTCATTTCACCTTGTTGCGGCTTGTACATTTTTAAATTCCTTGAGAAGAAGCTTTCAAAAGGCATACGAATGCGTTCTTTATGGAATGGAATCAGTTTGGTCCCACCTTGTCTAGCAAGTTCATTCATATTACAGCTTCTTTCGATGTACTCTGACCAAGGACCCACGTGAGCGATAATCTCCTTTATTTGGTCACCTACCCTTGAGGTTGGCGACAGTCCAGCGCTTCTTATAAAGATTTAAGAAATATTAGAAGACGGCTGAAAGCTGCAGGTCGCCCCATACCAATCTAAGCTAGATAGAAAGTCGCTTAACCCATAAAAGAGGGTTAATTATTTATTTATTTATTTTATGTATTTATGCCCCAATCGTTTTTCTTCTTTCCCCTTTTTTAGTTATTTACTAATGCATGTAAAATTCACCAAACCATAATCAATTAGCGTCAAAACGGTTGAAATTCTGAAACTATTTTAGCATTTAATGGAAAGTAATCAAGATTTTTCCCCCCATTTTGCGATATTTCAATCGCAATTTGCCTTTTGCTATTGCCAACACCTTCTTCTTCTTGCCCAGCATCGTTGCTTACTCACCTTATTATCCTGTTGGCCCGTGGTAAATTTCAATTCCGATTCGATGCCATTTAAAATTATTGAAATATTTTGCTCCGCCACATCGCATTCTGTAATAAGAAGAATAGAAATGAGAGGACATTAGATAATGACAGATTTTCTGTTTATTTTTTTCATAAAAAAAAAATAAAAAAGGAGAAAAAAGAAAATATTTTAAGTGCGATTTTCGAAGGTGTGAAACTGTCAATTGACCTCGAAATTCGTGCATGACATTTTATGTTTTGTTGGTATAGCAAATATTGATGACATGTTGGAGAAATGAAAAAAAAGAAGCTTATAAAAAATTTAAAAAGAAATAAAAAATGAGAAAATAACACAGAAAGCTTTTCATGGACAAACAACAAGCTATACAATAACAACAATTTTGTGAAATGCACGAAAATTGACATATTCACATTGACGCTGCCAAATATTCAATCATTGTTTGCTTGTTTGCTTGCATGAATGGATGTATGTATGTATGTTGCGGTAGGCGAAATTCATGTACATAAATCTTGCGGTTGAATAATTGAAAAATTGATTGCTGTGGTTGGCAATTTAAACGTAAATGCATACATCGTTTCTACACACGACATTTTAATAGAGTGTGAATATATATGTACATGTGGGTGTGTGTGTGTGTGTGTAGTTTCAAAGATACAGAGTGAAGGCGTTCGCCCATAAACCTCAGTGGCATATGATTGTGCTCAAATAGCCGTTGGTCAATACAAACTGGACACACACATACATGCATACAGACACGCCTACAATTATATGAAAATTAAATCTGCTTAACAGTGGCGTGTTCATTGTATTACAACATGCAGCGGCAATAACAAAAGTAGCAACAACACGTAACAGTATCACCCAGCATTCAGTTACACGGGGCGTATGAGTGACAATTTAATCAAATTATTTTTCATGACAATGCATAACACATTCATGCACACATATACACACATGTTTATATGCATACATATGGTTATACGTATCTATGAGTATTACGCGCTCATGTGTCTGCATTTACATATTTAATTTCATTTCCAGTTAAAGTGGAAAAATCGTGCGGCAATTATATGCAACGGCTGTGCGCCTATGCGCTTTAGTGGCCGGATATGCTGTGACAGCGGCTGCTCGCCATATCACTCACCGGACATTTGTGGTTGAGGATCAGGTGTTAAGCGAAGTAATTTTGCCGATTTATTTTGATTTAGAAAATATTCGAGCCGTAAAATAGCTTGCCACATACATGTATGTATGTATGTATGTAGATGTATGTGTGAGTTTAAATTTAATTGCAATAAAAATTGATTTAGTTTTTAGTGAAATCACACACAATCTAAATTTTTCAGACAAAATCAAGGTTAATGTATGTTAAAAGTGTAGTATGCTATTTTTTTGTTGCAAAATTAAAAAAAGGAAATATAAATTAAATTTAATTAAATTCTATATTCATGTTTGGCGCGAGAGCTAAAATAAATTTTTTAAATAGAAACTCAAATAATTTTATAAAATTATTTTAAATTATTAAAATTGAAATAGTTAGGAACGATATTTATTTTTCGTTTCCTTTCCTTTTTTATTTCAAATCTTTTGAAATCCAAACTTTTTAAAATTTCTTTAAATGTATTTAATTTTCTAGCGGAATTTTAAAAGTTTTTTTTATTATATCTCTTTTTCAATTTTTCTTAATGGTTTTTATTTTCATTTTATCTTTCTTCTTTTTTATTTCTATTATTATTTTTATTTTCATTTTCGTTTTTATTTTTATTTTTATTTTCATTTTTATTTGTATTTTTTTTATTTTTACTTATAATTTCATTTTTATTTTTGTTTTTATATTTATTTTTATTTTTATTTTCATTTTTATTTCTCGTTTTATTTTTATTTTTATTTTTATTTTTATTGTTATTTTTATTTTTATTCACATTTTTATTTATATTTTTATTTTTATTTTTATTTTTATTTTATATTTGTTCTTATTTTGATTTTTATTCTTATTTTTATTTTCATTCTTTCCCCTCTCTTTTTTCTTTTCGTCCTCGCACACTCACCTGGTCCATCATAGGCATTTATGCAATCCGATGTACGAAATTGCTGGATTAACGCTTGTTTACCAACGCCAGATGCGCCCAGCATCTCAACATGAAACACTTCGACCGGCTGCTGTTGTTGTGGCTCATCCTGTGCGCACGTGTAATCACCATTAATGCCACCGCCAACACTGCCGCCAACACCGCCACCGCCGAGACGCGGATGTATGGGACTAATGGGTGCCAAGCTGTTGCTGCGCGAACGGCGACGTCGAAAGGAGTCACCTCTGTTGATAACGCCTACGCGTAGGGAAGATGAAAGTGAAAAAAGGATAAACAATGCATTATTTATTAGTTTAAAATATAATTTAAATAATTTCTATTGTGAACAATAATTTAGTGGAACTTTATAGTGAGCATCTTTTGTAATTTGTTTTTGTATTATTTTTTTAATTTTTTTTTATTTAATTTTTTTTTTTTTTGTAGAGAGCATAATTTTATAAAGCCCAAGAGATAGATTTCAAAAATTCTATTACTGTTTTCCTATGAAAATAAAAAAATATTTATATAGATAATAAATAGTTCATGAAAAATTAAACACCTACACCTTGGCGTATGAGTAACATTTTGATGAAAAAATATACTAAAATTTAATTCCTAAATCTAAAAAAATAAAATAAAATAATAATTGTTATAGTGAACAGTAGTTTACTGAAAAGTTGAGTAGTAAATGAATTAATTTTGCATTACCTTTTCATTTTCATGATTTGCGAAATTCTGGCTCTGAATTAACTTTTCAGGATTTTATAAAGTTTCGAGAGGTGTTAATAGATGAAGAGAATAAAACTAACATTGTTTTTATTAAAAAAAATAATAATAATTTTCACACTTACATGGCGTTTGAGTACCATTTTTTATAAATAAATTCTAGAAAATTACGTTAAAACCACCCTGCAAATCATTTAAAAGATTTAAATTACCTTGCCAGGCTCTTACTGGTGAGCTAATCCAAGGAATTTAAGCTAGAAACCAGCTAAGCCGCTACAGAATGCCTTGAAACTGCATAATGAAACTCACATTCAAAAATTATGGATTAGCTAAAAACAAAACAAATGCTTTTTTCAACCGGTATTCTTATTATTGTTGGTTTTTTTTTGAAGGTCAAAGAGGGGTTGTCCTTTTTTGTGTGAACAAAAAGGCGGCAGAAAATCAACAAACGAACAGCAAATAAAGCTGAAACCCACAAAGCATATGCAATCCGTCACACAGTGTAAAGCCACAGGAAAGAAAGTAAAAAAAGAAGCAACAGAAACTAGAGAAAAATGTGCTACATGGGGCGGCTTTAATTTTTCTAAAAGCCGCTTATAGCTGGCTTTGGATGAATAACCAAAAATATATAATAAAAACGTAGAAAAAGAACGCAGTCAGTAGCTCAAACGCAATGAGAATATTTTTTGGTGGATTTTGTTTGTTTGTCTTTGATTGGTTGTTTGTTTGGCGCATATTTTTATATTTTTTCCTTTGTTATGCATTTTTTACCGTCAAGCTTTGGCATTGTTCGAGTTTTTGTTTTAATATTTGGCATTCCGCATCTAATAACAAAAATGGTTTAACCTTTCCAAAACTGAAATTTCATTAGGCCCAGTAGGGAGTGGCATAAGTCAGCTTACTAGATTTTCATCACGAAAGAAGTTTACTGGTTTTAGCTATATAAATTTTTAGACATGTTCAAAGCTAAAAATATAAATTTTTCTAACCGAATGAAATGTATATTTGAAAAAAAAAATTACATTGAGTATGAACATTTGGGAAAGCATATACAAATTAAAGAACAAACAGACAAATAATTGCTTAAACAAAATTTGCAAACATTCATAGAATAAATAAAACAAATTCCAAAATTAGCAGCATTCAAACCAAAAGCTATGTAAACAATTCTTCAAATAGAAACAACAAAGAAAAAAATTAAAAACGAAATCAATTAAAAGTCTGCACTAATAAATAAATCAAAATATTCACGCTCGGTTGCCTCTAATAAATTAAAATACACAAAAATAAAATTAAAAACAAAGAAATTTAGCATAAACATCAAAATTATTATGGGGTACTGTGTGAAAAGCTTGCGTACAAAATTTTCAATTGCCAAAAATCACTCAACCGCCAAACAGGCAATTCGAAATTTGTTTGCATTTTAATATACAGAAGTAAATGAAATAGAGAAACAAGCAAGAAAATGCAACTGAATGTAACCAGCAATTGGATTGTATATAAAATTATGCATAAATAAATTTTCATCCAAAAAAAAAGGAAAATAAAATTGAAAATGCTACAAGTGAGTTCTGCAAAACTGGGCGTGTGGTTAATATATGTATGTACACTCGTTCTTTTACATGCATTTGTAATGTTGATAAATTTATGTTTACTTTGATATGGCTGCACAGCATACAAACATATTAACACTCGGTATACACGCATGTGTGTACGTATTTATATTGTAAATATTCATTTTCATATTGTATGTTAATTAATGTAATTGCTTTAATAATTGAAACATGATGAAGTACTGTTATATCGCAGCGAATAATTTAATGAATGTAAACAAGCATATAATACAATAATAAACTTGATCATTCGCCGGTATTAAGCATATAAGGAGTAGACGCGTACGTCAGAGACTTCAAAAGAAAAGAATCTGAAATTTATATTAATAACGACTTCCGGCGAAGACAATTTTTAACATATTCTTGGTTTTATATATATATGTATAAAATTACGTATATAATTGTCGTGTTAAAATTACTCCCGGACCAATAAAATGTTCAGGGGTGACAGTCTTTGAAAAATTTTGGTATTAGTGTTATTGATTTTAGTGTAAATATCAATCAATCATATAATCTGGAAGCCATTCTAAATACAGATATATTCTCATTCTCATACCCAACTCGAGCAAAAAGTTCATTGTCAACCTCAATCACATTCCAATATCAATATAAATATCAGCATTAATCCCAATATCAATCACAATTATAATCTTAATAACAGCTTTAAACTCAGTCTAAATCTTTATCTAAATTTCAATTACAATTCGCAACCTAAAAATCACTCTCAATCTTAATTTCAATCTTAATCTCAAACCTAATCTCAATCTCACTTTAAATCTCAATTTTAATCCCAATTTCAATTTCAATCTCAATTCCAATCCCAATTTTAGTCTTAATCGCAATTATAATCTCAATCAAAATCTCAGTCTTTATGGCAATTTTGATTATAACCTCAATCTTAATATCAATTTGAATTTGAATTAGATTTTGATTTTTCATATCAATTTCCAATTTCAATTTCCATTTTTTATTTAAATTTCAATTTCGATTTCACTTCATTTTCCTTCTCAATTTCAATTTCAATTTTCATTTTTTATTGAAACTTCAATTTCAATTTCAATTTCAATTTTAATTTCAATTTCAATTTCAATTTCAATTTCAATTTCAATTTCAATTTCAATTTCAATTTCAATTTCAATTTCAATTTCAATTTCAATTTCAATTTCGATTCCGATTACGAATTAAAATAAAAATTAAAATTCAATTGCAATTTTAATTTTAATGGCAACTTCAATCTCTACCTCAATCTCAATCTCAATCTCAATCTCAATCTCAATCTCAATCTCAATCTCAATCTCTATCTCAATCTCAATCTCAATCTCAATCTCAATCTCGACCTCAATCTCAGCCCAAATCTCTATCTAAATCTCTTATTCTTAAAATGGCCAATCGTAATTTTTCTAAACACTCCAATGTCTAATTAAAAATCCTACCTAATCTCTTTCTCAACTAGACATTAAAATCTCCACGTAAGCTCGAGTGGCACCAAAACACACAAATATGGAAAGACGCTTTAAGTGGAATTAAAATAAAACACAATTTAAATATGAAGGGAAAATAAAAAATTGCGGAATAAGAAAGAAAATATGAATTGCAGGCATTTATCTATACAAAAAGCCACGCCATTCTATTTTTAACGGCGAAAATAACTGGAATTTCTCTTGGGTGCAATATTTGAAACACAATTACCAACTAACAGACATAAAGTAAATAGCCAAATTGCTGTAACGCGAGGCATTTGTGATACTGTTGCTGTTTTTGTTGTTGTTGCACTTGCGCCGGCAGACAGACTGAGACCTCATAACATAGTCATTGCTGTTACAAATATTACCAAATGTTTACACACAACACGCTACTAGAGACTTCATGACAAACAAAAATAACTAAAAGCGATGAGAGTGGAGAGAACACAGCGGGAGCGAGGAAGGGCGCATATAAATGCAGTAATCTGCATGTGAATGCGAATAGTTGAAATAGGAGCACCCAGGGGGAAGGATAGCGTAAATAAATAAAACGGAAATTTGAGCAAAGTTCAGACGTTGGCACACATACATATATGTATTTTTAAATGTATATATGTGTTAGAGTTTAGGTATTTTCGTTGATTTTTTTTTTGCAAAGGATCAACAATTATGTTTAATAAAATTTTTGAAAATATATCTAAAAATACTTAAAACATATGGCAGTGCAAAAACAATAATAATAATGTTATTAATTTTTCCAATAAACGAAAATATTTTTCAATTATTTCCATTCTTTTTTTTACTATTTTTTTTTAATTTTTTCGTTTCAATAATTTATAGTTGAAATTATTCAGCAATTATGCCATTATTAAATTTACAGTATTTGTACATATAAATAACCAACAAACAATTATCCGTTTATGCGTGCAAAATATTTAGGAAATTTCAACAATTTGTTGCTCATAAAATATTATAAGTTATACTGTTAAATCTGCTAGCCAAAAGTGTGGAAGAACGCAAAGCATCTGCCGGATCATTATTTTTTTTTTTTGAAATGAAATTTTCTTAGGTTTTGCAAAATTTCATGCCATGGCAAATCAACACAAAATCAATTCAAATGTAACGAATTCGATTTTATTGCCCGCTGCCGTGCACAGAAGGCAAAAAAAATTAAATAAAAAGGAAAAAAGTTATTTTACGGTTTGTTTTTGGTAGACCCACATATATATGAGAAATTGGTAAGCAAACAAAAAAAATTATGAGAATAACAAATAAGAAAAAAAAATAAAAATAAAGTGTAAATAAAGAATTCTCTACTTTAAAGAAATTTTTTATGCACACCAGCTGTATAATTTTCGAATAAATATATTCGCTATGAATTTATTTTGTTGTTGCAGTTATTTGTGCTTATTGTAGCTATTTTGAGAAGAAATTTAATATAATTTTTTTTTATTAA